GAAATAGCAAGTAGCAGTTTGGACAACTAGTAAAAAAACACTGCGTGTGTGTTGCGCTTACAAAGATAGTTACTAGAGTTAGGAAGGCCTAGTATGGAGAATCCCGTATATTGCTGCAGCTCAGAACTCCAAACGGATATGTCACTTATAGCGTTATTGTACGCTAGATGAAAGCAGTCAGAAATAGCCTGAATACTAGCACGTACACTAACAACCATCTGTTATTGAAGTGACACAAAAATGATGCTACAGGTGACGAAAGGTAGCAATTGGCCGGTTGTATTTTTCCGCGAAATTGACATTCTGCAGCCTGATTTCATGATGATCTCATTGTTTGATGTCGTTGTAAGTTTTCACTTCGTCACTGATATTTGAAACGGCAGCATATATATACATAAATAATTCGCAGTATATATCATTCAGTAGCTATTGAGTGAGTTTCTTCGAAACGACTTTTGTATCTAAAGAAAAGTAGCTGAGCAAAGGAAGGTCAAGACAAGCAGACAAAATAGCTATTTTAGTCTAAAATAAATACATTTAACGCCCACTGTATCTTAACATTCAATTAATATTAAGTTGTTTTAACTAGACGTATGCAACCCGGAATCAATAAGCCTGGTGTAACTGCACCCAGTTCGTTGGATTATCTCAGAAACATCAGTAACAGAGGAGTACGCACACTAATTGCCCGGGCGATCTTTATTCTCAGTACTGTGGGTTTAAGCAGAATTATAAATGATATTCAACGAATAACGGTCCGCTAACAACGAACTATATTTGCAAATATTAAAGACTGAAACCTACAATATATGTTCGGGGAATAGGTTTTCTGATATTATAATATTTCTGTCCATTTGACTGCATAAAGAACAAATGGTCACCAAAGTTATGATCGTTAGGAATTTCTAATATTTCTGAATACTGGCCTCAAAAGCAGTGAGCGACTGGTCATTACTATGGCAAGGTATGAGGGTATGCACGATCACAATGACTGCCACAAATTTCTCGGGTATCAGTGGTCAAGAAATTTGTTCAGCTATCTTGGAATAAGCATGCTTGTAGATCATGCTGTGTCAAAATTTGGAGCACTTTGCGGACCCATGTTTCAGGTGATAGCACTTTGCCGTATGTGCATACTTATGTTTTTCTATGCATTCCTACTAACTGAACATTGGCTTCCGGTCGCAGTCACCACTATTACAACGACGCTTTATCTTGTCGCAAAGGTTCAATTTTGTGCGGTACATTTTGTGCCTACGGGCATGGTAGAGTTTGTAGTAGGTCTAGTGTTTGATTGCTCTAGTAGAACGTACACGATTCTTCTATCCGTTCCGATGGTAAGTTGGTACCGGCATATAGACCGAACCCACCATTGTCCTGATTGTAAGCAACCTTTGAAAGAGAAAGGTCACCGACAGTTTTGCTTGTGAATGGTTTCTGTTAGCATTTGCTATCACGCGGGTTATTTCTGAGTATCACCCTCTTTAACGAAGAGAAAATCGGATGGAATTTTGAATTTGATTCATTTCATGCCTTACATTTCATCGTTTTTAGGCACTATTCTTCTTTTCGCCTGCGCAAGGAAGCCTTCCCCAGTATATGGTATTTTTATCGTCGTTTGTGGTTGCCTGGTTCGAGATGTGGCTCGTGCCATTCCATGTTCTACCAAGCGAACGTCGTCAAATGATTATTCCGGTGGAGAATCTGTCAACACTTGTTTCGGCACGGAATGAACAGACCGATGAGGAATTTCGTTCAGCGATGGAATATTCCTCGGGTAATTTCTTTTTTTCCCCTTTTCCTTCCCATCTCAGTAAAATCATTCAAGTTATCAAGTGAAGAATGAAGCAAATTAGAGTTGTAACTGATAAGCTCTGATATTTGGAATAGATAAGTCGTTATTCTTATTTTCAAGAATTTGTATTTTAGCTGCAGCTAAGACATACAAAGAGTCGGAGATTTCCTGCTACTGAATTTCACTTCCTTCTTAAAAAACTTCCACTCAGTAGACTCCCTCTGTATTCACCTTTTGCAAGGCGGAGGTGTTCGCGAAGTACCTTGAGCGGTAGCAAACGCCAGTAGCAGCCATACGCTGGAAAGACTGTCGATGGCTCCACTTTTGAAGTTTGCTTACAGAGCAAGATGTTGGCGGAAGTAGGCACGTTCCTAAGACGTGTTGTACAGTAGGAGAAAAGATTCTTTGGAATCCACCGACAAAAAACGCTGAGGGATCATACAGGGGATTTGTGAAACTGATGAAAGCTTGGGATATAAAGTGTCTTAAACTGATGTCTTTTGTTTAATCTAGTAAATCCTGCCGTGCTGAGTGTTGAATATGATGAGGTTCATCTGGCACAAACGTTCGAGATGAAATTTTCTTGCCATTCTGGCCAGGACTATTGGCGCGCTCTTTTTAGGTAATTTCCCAAATTTCTACCCGAAATTTTGTGGATAGGGGTGATTTTGTTGCAAAACGCATTGATCGCAGTAGCAGGAGTTTTTCCAGCAAATCTTTATGAGTAAAAATACCTGTGAGTCCTACAAAATTTAACTGATTTTTTCTCTTGCTGTTGTATGATAATGCACAGATTTATGAACATTGTTAACATAGGATACCCACACTGACAGCTCGTACAGCCTTGGTAATTCTTGGTATTTTTTGGTAAATTTACTAAATTTGCAGACTCCGATGATGAAACAGTGCCTACAATAGTATTCAATGGGAAGGTGTATTCGAAAGCGGAATATGTCGATGCAGTGGACAGAGCTGAATGGAAAGCCAAAGAATTGCTATCACAGACTGGTTCCTGGAAAATTCTAAGCAGGTTATTCTTAACACTTATATCAGCTTAGCAATTTTCAAGAAATAACTATTAATCGGTATGTGTAATTGGTATCCGCGAGAAATAAACGACCACTTGGACTTTCTCCGAAAACTGCACATACATCGATAAGGCGATGGATACTAACTGGGGATGTGCAGCCCAGGATCGAAGGGTCTGGCAGAACTGCGCTCTACTTACAGTAGCGACACTAACGTAGATTGCTAATTATGAAAACAGTTAACCAGCATCATCATCACCATCATACTACATTCATAGGTACTAATTAGTACGCTCTTCAGAGGAAGTCCAGAAATACGAATGCTAGAAGGCAAACGCACATATTACATACGCGATGAAATTGCATGCTCACCAAAATGCCTCTTCAAAGCTGTTTGGAAGGATAATACGTTGTGGAATAAGCATGTCGCTGAATTCAGAGTAACTTATATCTGTTTTGATGCCTTTTTTCCGTTTGTGCAATGCAAAAACGCATATCGTCGAGCCGCTGTATGTGTATGTGTGAGTGTATCTGTGTGTTTGTCTGTGCTGACTTTTCATCTCGAGACCCACAAGAGTTACAAAGCTTAGACTTTGGCTACTTAATCTACACGCATTTAGGGGGCTCCCATCCCCAAAATGGACACTTTTGCCCACGTGGGAAGAAACTTATTATTTTAACGGAGTGTTTCCCGCTTACTTAGAACCTAATGACTTCAGTTTCAGCTCCCAGGTGTGCATGGTCCTCACATAAGGGCCCGTGAAAATTATTGGCGGGTAAGTTGCTAACTCACGAACCTGAAAAGCTAGACAGCTGAAATTTTAAGGAGATGCTTTCTGCCAGTCTCAATTCTTTTACCTGCCGGAAGCATCTGCCGGAAAAAACAGTGCCGCTAGCGACAAAAGTTTGCGGGAATTGCACAAAAAACGCATCTTCGCACCAGCAGTCAGTGCGCTAGCCAGTTATAATCACTTCGCTTTAATAATTCATGTCAAGTCCGGCTGAGGATTTAAAGGAAGTGATACGCTCTTAGATGAGGATCAAAGACTTACCCTGTTCGACGCATTCGTCCAAATTGCACCGCTGCCGGCCAAAACCCTTTACTGATGTTATGGACAATGATTCGTTCGCACAAGAATCAAGGGATGTCAAAGTACCCACATCTGCCCATTATCACCTTCACGTAAAAGGAATAGGATATTTTGTGCTGGAATGTTCGAGCATTGCACATGAACGCATTTTTTAACACCTGGCAACTCCTCTATAGCACCTTGCAAGGAGTTTGTGCCGGACTCTTGAACCTTTCTTCATTTCATTTTCTCGATTTAAGGTATTGCTTCACATTGATTCAGTGACAGAACTGGTTTATATCATCAGTGCTCCTGCTTTACGTGGTTATATTTTACCACGGTTTGTCATGTTCTCATTTTTAGTGTAAAAATTAACGTAGGCTGGAACGCACCAGGCGAGCCGGTGCGATCATGCGTTTTTGCACAAAACTTGAAT